CTGATTATCTCTATTACAAAGTCAATGGATAAGGTAGGAGTTTCATGGAATTAAGAAGGAGAGGAGAGAAATTCATCTCATAGAGAATGAAGCTAATGGTCTAAAGAAAGCCATCAAGTTTATTTTATCAAAAAATAAAATAAAAAAGTGTGGTTTTCTTAGTTTTTAGAGCCTGAGATGGTTAGTCTAGAGGTCAAAGTTCTGTGAGTCACATAGCAAATTACTGCTTCACCTTCACATGGATTAAAAGTTCATCAACTCCTGAGTTAAGATAAATTCAAAGGTTAAAAATTCAAATTCTTCTGACCTACCTTTAAGCAATGAATATTGCAACTATTGTCAGTGACTATTCGAAAGTTACTAATTAGTGTAATCAGGCAATAATGTAAAATAAGGCATCTTCAGTACACACTGACCTTGTATTTCTACTTTGAGGAAACTATGACATTAAGGCATATGGTGCCCAGTCTTATCTCTACCACGTGAAGTTTGTATGCCCTTGGCCAAGGCATTGTGTCTCTGAGGCCCAGCTTCCTCATATTTAAAGTGGGAATAATTTCACTTCAGCTAAAAGTAATTAAGAAAATCAGCAGTGATACAATATGTGTGAAATTACATATTAATTTTGAGCATACCTGTACATATGAGGGTTAAACATTATGTAGCTGGGGTGTTGAAAGCATTTTTCCTTACTAAATGGATTGTAAATAACACTACAAAACCAACTTAGAAATATATTTAGGAATTCCCCCAAACCTGATATTCCAGAATACTTCACCAAAAGAAGGCCATAAAGAGGCCTAAAAAGATTTTAAATAAAAGTGGGAGAAAAATTCCATTCCTAATTTCAACACAGGAACACCAGAAATATGAAAAAACAGGTAATGTGACAAAGCAAGAGATCCATAATTCACCAGAAACTGACTCTGATGATATAGAAATGAAAAATGTATAATGTTGATAATCAAAATAATGACTAGGATAATTATCAGCAAATTCTAAGAGAACACAGAAAGACAACTGAATGAATTAAGAAACTCAGTACAGGATACAAATGAGAAATTCACTGAAGAGCTACAGATTATGAAAAATAATCATACAAAAAGTCTGGAAATGAAATACTCAATGAATAAAATAATTCAGTTAAAAGTCTTACCAATAATATGTCTATAAATTTGTCATATAGCAAACAAACTTTTAGGTGTCGAAGATAAAGTACTGAACTTGAATATTTAGTCAGTAATTAGAAAAACAGATCAGGATATACAAGAAATCTGCAAAAA